TCATTTTCAGAAGCTGATTTTTCATTATTTGTGGGCAGGGAAAGACAGAGCAGGTCTACAACTTAAAGTGTGAAAGAAAGGACCAGAAAAGCAGCAGGAAATTTCCCAAGTTCCACGTCAGCTTAACGGTTATCCAGTGGCCCATCCAAGCTCCGACGAATAAAACTTGTTTACCCTGACTAGCGGCCCAAGAGCCTCTGCCATATCAGCCGAACAGTCAAATTATAAACTGACGGAATTATCCTCGCATAGTAGCTAGATTAACGATTGTATCCGTTTCCTTAGCTGCATGGGTCAACTCGTCCCCAGCCCAAGCCCAGCCGAGTTTTCCAGTTGTTTATTTTCCCGAGAATCGAACACTACAAATACAAATATCGTACAAACCCGAAAACCCTTCTCCTTCCTCCTTTCCTGGTTCCCACTGAGTCTCTCTCCCCCTATCTGAACGGTCAGTCTTTATCTCCTTGTTATTTCCCTCCGTTTGGTTGCCGAGAAAGGACAAGAATCGCAGAGAAAGGATTGTGAAATTTCGCGTCTTTCTTTCGTTTTAATCCCAGGTTTAAAAAAGTTCGAAAATTTTGATTCTGAATTCTGTTCTTTTCGTTTTTAGGGTTTTTTTGTGTGTTATTTTCTCGGCAGCCAAACAGAGCGATTGTAATTTCGATTTCATCTCCTGCGTGTTTCTCCGTTGTGATGAATTTTGTATTGTCGGCTCTCAATTTCGAATCAAATTCCGATTTATTTATTTATTTGTTTAAGTTTAAACCAAACGGAGTATTAGGTTTACAGAGTGAAAGAAAAGAAAAAAAGTCATCTTGGATCTTGACATCATTTTCGTTTTCTTGTGTCAAATTATTGCTCTTTGTTGTTTCTTTATTATGTTTCTTTGGCAAAAAAATTATGTTTACTTAATATGTGGAGTTTGGAACTCTCAAATGGATGAATGGTTTTTTGGTATGTGCAGGTTTGTAGCTCTTGGATATGGGTTTCAATGCGGTTTATGGTTGCTTAAAGGAAATTTTTCCCCAGGTATCGGTCTTTACCTCAAAAGACATTTTTGGATTAAATTATAAAGTTATCTTTGCTATTGTCTAATTAGATTTCCTTGTTTGCCTCAATTTCCTTGTTTCCCTTTTATTTCTTGTTTTTTAGTTTTTATTCCAGCAGATGCTAATGATTACTACTAGTTGGATTTTATGGAATATACACATTGTCGTCCCTAAGATCTTAAGCAGACGCTAATGATTACTACTAATGATTATTTCTTCTAATGCTGCACAGGTGGATTTTCGCCTTCTGAGGGCTGTCGCTATTGAACATCCCGCCGATGCTGATGCAGCAGTGCTTGATGTTCTTACTGAGCTCCCTTCCTTGAATACACAATCATTGTCTCTTGTTAGTCCTGCACAGGTTTTGCATCTCACAGGTTCACCAGTTACAGGTAATCTATAGCTTCTCATAAGAACTTTTTTTCCGATTCCTGATATCATTCTGTTATTGACGCCATTATATTTTTCCTATTCCCCATCATTATACATTGATAAACACTAGAATGTTGCCATTTTTTCTTTTTACCTGTAGATGGTTAATATTGTATACGCTTTATTTTATGCATATATTCAAATGCTCTATCTAGTGGTAAACATTTGATATTTTAACAATGGTATTTATTTATATGTTGCATGATGAACTTGCAGTTGACCACAAGGAGAAGGGTAAAGCATTGATGTACCAGCAGGTAATTAAGGAACTAGGAGTTGGATCTCTACCAGAACCAGAAACCGCAGCTGGTGAGGATGGCAACAAAAATGATCATACAAGTGGTGCCTCTCATGATGAACCCACACCAATGGAGGAAGTGCATACATTGCATAATGCCCCTGTCACGGCAGATCCTTTGAGGATACATACTCAAAACGAAGAACCGATTTCTGATGAAACGGGTTTGAATTTTGATGGCAAAGTTGGGCTTCAGCAGTCTCCATCTTGCAAGTCAACCCTTTCAATGCCTGAAAAAGATTGGGTGAATGGCATCTTGGATGAGCCGCCTCCTGCATGGAAGAATTTTGATTTTCCTGTGCATGATGATTCTGATTTGGTTATCAGTGAAACATGTGATAAAGTAGAATCATCTGCTGTTGACTCTTTGGTGGATGTTAAAAGTTCTGTGGCTCAGCTGGATTCTTCTTTTATAGAACATGCACCGGATGCTACACAGTGTGGCTTTCATTCAGAATTCTGTTCAGGCCCTCTTCTTGCTGATGACAACTTACAAGCAACTGGTACTTCATATCCTACTTCCAAGCAAGATTGCTCTCCCAGGGAAATGGTTGATATTGAGGAGACCATGCCGAACAACATATGCAATATTTATGTTCTTGAAGAGATAATTGAAGATGCTAAAAATAACAAGGTACTAATGGATTTACAACTTGTTAGCTTTAGACTTGCAATTCAGAAGTAAATGCATCTACTATAAAAATTACAACTGCATAATTTTTTGTTCAATTACTATCAGATTCTAAACCTAATGATGGTATTTATATCATCTTGATCCTTTCTTTGTGATGATGCTCTGTGTTTTCATTGGGTCTCTTGAAGTGGCTTTTAATTCTTCCTTGTGAAACAAGTACTATACGATATTGTCTTTTGAATGCAATGATATTGTGTTCTATAAATTTGGTTTCGGTGCTTCATTTCATCTTTGTATCAATAATTTGTGTCATCATGGGATGTACTGGTGATAATTATTGGCTGACATTTGGGAGCTTATTATTAATTTTAGTAGTTTATTACGTGTTTGCATTGCTGATGCAGCATCTTGATGGAGTCAGTTTTCAGCATCATTAATTTTTTTTCTCGTCTCCCTTATGATTGAGTTCCTAATTATTAAACAATGGTGCAGAAAACCTTGTTTTCAGCGATGGAGTCAGTTATAAGCATGATGAGAGAAGTGGAAGTCCAAGAGAAAGCTGTTGATATTGTCAAAGAGGAAGCTTCTAGGGGAGGTTTGGATATCATGGTCAAGGTGGAGGAACTGAAACAGATGTTGGCACATGCGAAGGATGCAAATGACATGGTTGTAGATTGCTAAATGAGATTAATATTATAAGTTAATAGATTCCGAATTCTGCTGTTCTTTGTCAAGGGTGCATCATAACTGAGGATGTATTCTTCTTTTTTCTGCAGCATGCTGGAGAAGTGTATGGGGAGAAAGCAATTTTAGCAACTGAAGTGAGGGAGCTTGAGTCTAGATTGCTCAGCTTATCAGATGAAAGGGATAAATCACTTGCAATTCTGAATGAGGTTTTTACTTCACTTCATCAAGTTGTTCATCACACTGCATTAATTTGTTGTCATGCTATGTTTAACTAAATTATTTATTCATCTTTTAAATTTCCTCATTTATAATGCTATCCTTATCATGTTGTATTCTTCAAAGGCAATGATTATATTCTCTGTTTCACTACTCTAATTATTTATCAAGAAATATCATGACAGAGTTCGTACAGTAAAAAAAAGGGCAAATGTTATCCGTCACTTATTTGGCTACAATCGATGCACGGCAGCTGATACAAATATAGTCCATTTTCTTAGTTCATTATTTGTTTTGTAACTGCAGATGCGTGAAACTCTTGAGGAACGACTGGATGCAGCAACTGAGGCAAGGAAAGTGGCTGAGCAGGACAAGCTAGAAAAGGAAGAATCTGCACGGACAGCTCTTGCTGAACAAGAAGCGGAGATGGAGAAAGTGGTACAGGCGTCAAAAGTATTGCAACAGGAGGCGGAGGAGAATTCCAAGGTTGCAACTATTTCCAGTGACCATGGACCTACTCAAGTAAAGTAACTGATGATATAATTTCATTCTAACTTTTCTTTTTGCAGTTGCGGGAGTTTCTGATGGACCGTGGTCGCATTGTCGATATGCTCCAGTAAGTAATTTTGTCATCATTGTTTTAATATATTAGTTTTGTTTCCTTTCGAGGCTTTCTAAATTTTCTTTTGATAGTTTCGTGTCTGTTTTTTCTGCAATATTTAGTTTTATGGTTTTGAGGAGATAACATGGTACTTTGGTGTACTTGTGCAGAGGGGAAATTTCTGTTATTTGTCTGGATGTCAGGCTGCTGAAAGAAAAATTTGATGAACGGGTTCCACTAAGCCAGTCTGTTTCCTCAAGCCAGACTAGTTGCATCTTAGCTTCTTCAGGCTCATCATCACTGAAAAGCATGGGGGCATTTGATTTGCTTCTGGAACGAGTCGAGTCACCAAAGTTTGCAGAGAAGGCAAGTCCTGCTTCTTCAGTTGATGGCCAATCACCAACAAGCAGACGTGAAGATGAAAGAAGAGAACTTGCACAAGCACTTGTGGACGAGGGGTGGGAAGTTGTCGTCGACAAATAACTGGATTTCTAAGCCTACTATTGCATACATTATGGTGTTGTGAATACGACCAACAAGATCAACTTCGAAGGATTTTCGCCAGATGCATTTTTGTTTAAGTTGAGAGTAGGGTTTATACACATATATATATATATAATATATAATATATAATATATAATATATTTGGAGTGTTACTAGTTGAGCCTCTCTCTCTTTCCGCATACTACTTTGTTAGTTGCGAGTACTTTCTAGATTCCATCGTGATTTGTACGGTGCATATATTCAAAACAACAATGTGCAGAATTTTGATGATATTATTCTACTATAGCCCAGAAGACCTAAAGTAAATCTCACCAGGCCCTTTTCAACACTTACAAGGCTTTCTTCAACTCTAGCCCAGAAAACCCGTGTGAAGTAGATTCGGCCAAGTTGAAGAAAAGATGAAAAACGGCTGCATGGTCAAAAAGGCTTTTTATTTATCGGATAAGCTAATCATATTCTTCCCCTCTTGATTGCTGAGCTCAGTTTTTGACCCAAGTAGTAATTAGTAGCAAGTGTTTTAACACTTAACCTCTGGAAATTGGCTTAACCTCATCTAGGAAATGAGTTTGAAAGATTGGATTGGACGTGCAATAGTGTCATAATTTATTATCAGAGAGATCCATACATCATAATCATATCATATGGTACATGTATGTATTTACATAGTGAAATCAAATACACATTTCGAAATTGGAGCTATATATATATATATATATATAGCTTCTTCAACTTACTTTAACCTACCTACCATTTAAGCCAAAACTGCGTCACTCTTGTTTGCCTGATCATTATACAATACAACATGCAGATGCAGAGAGAAACACCACAATATCCACCCCACCCGTACGGTATGGTTAATTACTCACCCTAATCCTCCTACTGAATCCCAAGCTCGGAGTGGAGATTGATCAACAACAACAACAACAACACAGTAGTGCATGTGCATGCTTCAACTCAACTCAACTGAGCTAATTAACATAATTAATTAGCCTTTTAAATATATAGTTAATCATGCCAGCACATAAGCATCACACTGCATCTCCATACGATGTAAAGCCGTGCCCTCTGCTCTCTTATGTGCTTTGAACACCGTGTCCATGGCCGAAGCTTCAAACTGCTCCTTGTTGTTGGGATTGCCTTGGCTGCCATGCCCATGCCTGTGTATATATATATATATATATATATGAACAAAACCAACACACAAATAGAACTTTGGCTGAGATTTTATGACAATTAGCCAAAGAAGTTGGAACTTGAAACTGAACTTGTTGTGTTGTGGGTTTGAAGGGGTGTTAACCAGGGGCTTTAAATAGAGAGACTACAGAACAGAAGAAGAAGAAGATATGCGAGGAACAAATATGTGGTGCTTGACATATGTTGGCCACTGGTTGAGCCAAAGGGACAGGGAAGGGCCCCACTGTTTTTGGGCAACATGACAAAGCACACCCTCTGCTCTGGATAAGGACCTCCCATCGACTCTTCCCCATGGAGGGGCCATCCCCTTGTCTCACACTGACATTGATATCTGCATGCATTTGCAATATGCATAATGCATGCTCACATCAATCACCTAAACAATTAACAATCTTTAATAAGTTTGATTAAAATGTCATTCATGCATGCACTGTGCACAAATGGGAGCTTTCTTCATGCATTGCATATTCTAGAAAGAGAATATCACAAAACAAGCAGATTTGAGAGAGATATAGTTTGTTTTATTTATTTATTAAATCCCAGAAATAATACACTTCAATAATAGTCAAGGAACATTGCTAATGTTCCAGTTGTTAATACTCTCAATATAGATTTCTAAAATTAATTATATCATAAAAGTCAATTAATAGACTAACAGTGATTAACATTTAAAGCAACAAACAGTCCAAGGGGACTAAAGGAGCTATCTACAATAGATAACATAGATTATCAAAATGGTGGTACACGTGTCCCTTAATTTGGTAACTAGTATAAGAGCTAATCTTGTTCACAATGATTTCTTTTTTCTGAAAGAAATCGAACTTGAAAAAGCATATGGGTATTTCCTGGAGTTGAACTTTAGACCGAGACTGACCGTTAACAATAGCATTCACATTTCATCAAAAAAAAACAATAGCATTCACATTTCGTAACTACTACTACCAGAGAGCCCACGTATAACATAGAGAAAACAAGTACAAAGGGGCCCACCCACATTTTCATCATCCTCACAGCACAGGGCTCGAATATCACGTGCAGCATGTCGTACTGGTCAAACCGACATGCCGTCCACTATTTTTTTAAGAATACATGAAATGAAACTTTATCTTCAATGACTTGAAGTTGAAGGAAGCCCTACCACTACACTAATGGACTTTAAGGCGACACTCGGGATGATCCTTCGCCTTCAACTACAACCACCTTACAAAACCCAACACTGTGACCTCTACAATGGACAACTTGTCCCAACTTTGGCCACCTCCTTTCTGAATTAGTGGATTTGGAGCCCTACACGTGGTTCTGAGAAATCCCATTTGTCATTGTCCCTGTGCTGCAGCCAGAGCTAGCAAAGCCCACTGTCATAAACACTCGTAGCCTTATCTCAATGGAGGGGGAAAAATCACAGGTATAAGTATCAGTATACATCATACATGACAATATTACACATCAGATTACAAGGGTGAGAGACCCCACAACATTGCAAAGTACTTGAAACTCAAGTGGTTATCATTCATGCACACTAAGTCTTGTGTTCGAGTCCCCACAACATGACACGTGTTGCGTGATACTTTGGAAATGCACATGGGGAAGGAAGCAAAGGGGTTGCTTGGAACCAACCAACGTAATTAGACCAATGAGAATGTTTGTGCTTCCACAATCTTGAATAAAAATCTAAGCAAAGGGTTAAAAATTGAAAAGCATGTGGCACTTTTGATATTTTCCGACCAAAAAGAAATGATTCGCACTTGTATTTTGGAAGGCGATGGACAACTCATATTTTTATCTGCAAAGTACTGATTCTGTTATAGGAAAAGACTTTTGAGGACAAACGTGAAATGAATAATAAGTACTAACAGAGAAGGGTTACATAGACAGGAAGAAAGATAATTCACAGAGAAGAGTTCGTATTCACTAGTGTTTGAACTGAACTGCCTGATAACCTCACACCTCCCCAAGAGCTTTCTTGATATCAGCCTGTGTCAAAGATAGGGAAGAATATTAGTTTAAGAGATGATCAGAGCTGTGCTTCTGTGTGTATGTATGTGTCTAAGAGAGACTGAGACAACGAACCTCAATGCTCAACGGAGACGTGGTTGGGCTGTACCGTTCGATGACATGGCCATCCTTGTCAACCAAGAACTTGGTGAAGTTCCACTTTATCCTATTCCCCAGAAATCCAGTTTTACTTGCTTTGAGGAATTTGTAAACAGGTTCTGCTTCTGGCCCATTGACACGTACCTAGATATAGAAGAGCACAAAATCCATGTTATTAAACTGTTAAGTTTCAACTGCAGATTGTGCAATAGAACTAAGATCTTAACATAAAATGCATCACTCGGAAAGAAATCATGGTTTTGCTTACAAATCCAATCAATTAGCTTGTTTGATATCATGGATTTGTTTCCTGTCAAAGGTTTTCTTTAGTCTTGGTTGATAGTGAAGCATCTCCTAGAAAGTCAATGGTTTTCTCTCGCTCTCCTCTCTCTATCACACATTCAAACATATTTGGCAACCATAATGGCCTCTCATATTCCACCCCTGTGTAAACCATTTCTCATGAAGCGGTAATGGATAAAAAGGCTACAGCTGGTACAGAACAATTAATATTCTTCCCCTGTTGCAATCCATTGCAATTGACCAACCAGATGAAGATAACAAGTAATTGCATTACTGAGAATACACGTAAAAGCAACCAACATCAATGAAATAACATGCCCATCGCACTCAGCTTCAAGCACATCAACTTAACACTCAAGAAAGGAACCAAATAAACAGAAATGAAAGGTTTCCTACGTTCTACATAAACTATATATATATAAAAATCCAGAAGTCGTAATATTGAAAGGTGGCAAGGTTTATTCTTTCTTTTTAATATGCTCTAGTGGAGAAGGAACCTCATAATATTATTAGCAAAGGGTATAGGCCACATTTTATACTGAAGTATGAGGGCATTAGTCTTAGCGTTTCCCTTTTTCACAAATCAAAACAAACCAGGAAGCCATCCAATATGAGTCTGAGAATTCTAAATCTTGATAATGCCCACCTCAAAAAGCTCTTTGAAAGAACATGTGCTCTTCCAATGGTCTGTGCCATTAGAACTGACCCGCTGACTGGAAAACATCTAACTTATAGTGATTAACTTCTATTACCTAATCTCTTCATTCCTTTTTTCCAGATAATATCTACATTCCTTAACTATAGTATTTAGGTGGGGATATATAGGCAATAGCAGTGAGCAGTATTTAGCTGTCTAGTAACCTTTTTTCATTTCCTCAACTCTACATGGGTGAATTCAAACAAAAACCAAGCTACGGGTCAAAGAAAAATTATTGGCAAAGCCCATCAGCCACTAATAATATCACATACACAGTGATTTTCTTCAAAGCTCAGGATATCACAAGCACCATGTAGGACTAAGATAACCGGATTGATGATCTGATAAATGTGGCAAAAGATATTCAATTACCTTCTTGAATATCGGATATTCAGCCTTGTATCTTGTACATGCAAATTCTTCCGCGTCCTTGCTTGTCCCAGGCTCTTGCTTCAGAAACTGATTGCACGGAAATGCCAGGATCTCAAGACCTGAAAATACTCATGTCTAGACCGGATCAAACACAAAACTAACAGAAATATTTACTCTCAGTCTTAATGAGCAAATGGCATCAACTAAACTGATAAGAACTTGGAAATTAGCAATATAAACAGTACTATAAAATTTGGATTATAGAAAAAGAACCCAGAAGAGTTTTTCATGGGATTTAATAATCCTTCGCTAAAAAATAGAACTTCTTCACGAAACTTGATTGTAAATATAGATAATATGTTCATACATATAGAGCTGCAGTGAAAAAGGTTTAGAGGGAAAAGAAGAAACCTTTGTCCTTGTATTTGTTGTAAAGCTCGGTCAACTGAGTGTAATTCGAATCAGTAAATCCACTGTTAACACACAAGAAGAAGAAGAAGAAGAAGAAGAAGAAGAAGAAGAGGAAAACAAGGATTAATCAATTGATTAAACCCAAGAACTAAAAAATAAAAATAAAAGGGGAAAAAGAGAAAGAACCATTTGGAAGCAACGTTAACAACGAGGAGGACCTTCCCTTTGTAAAGGCTGAGGTCCACGTCCTTACCTCTGCTATCCTGCCACCCAAAAACAAAACTTTTCAAGATTTCTGAACGAAACCATTGACTTGAAAAAGAAAAGCAATGAACTTGGAATTACCTTTACTGTGAATTCATGGATGGATTTTTCAGAGACCGACTGTGAATGTGAAGCACCCATTTCTCTGTCTCTTTCTGTTTCTCTGTCTGTCTCTTTACAGAAGCAAAACTGTTTGTTTGGTAATAATTTATACAGAGCAAGAAGAAACTGTGAAGGGAAGGATGAAGAAGGAAAGACTTTTGACAGTTGCCTTGTTTGTCATCAATTTGCTGCAGTTCACCCGGCAGATGGGCAAGGGGCTCAAAACTTTTTTCAATTTACGGACAAGGGCTTCACTTCATTTTATAATTTACTCTCAATCACTTCTTGTTTCGGCCTTTTGGTTAGTGGTCTGTTTGCTCCAACCAATATGTGTTGTCTTTCTAATTCTTACCAGTTTTTCTTTTCTTCGGGTCAACTATTTCTCATGAATTTCAGCCATCAGTCACTCAGTCAAGAAGATATCTGGACGTAAAACAAACCGTAATTAAGCCCAAAAACAAGAACCTGATTCAAAAACAACATCTCATGTAACATAAAAAGTCGGTGGGCTGAGAAATAGCCAACTACCCTCATTAATTTTGCGCAATCACAGTAAACACATAACAATCGCTCTCGCTGTCAATGGCCCGCACCACGTTCTGTTCTGATATTAGAAAAATTAAAGGGAACTAGAAACTCAATTCATTATGTTTTAGAATCACAATAAATTAGTTTCTATATTGAAAATAGATTACCTTTAATTTTAACAAGAAAGGAAATCTTACAAGAAATAAGATTTTTTTTTAAAGACATTTCTTATGCGATGACATACTAAAATCACACACACACCTCGGATGTTAAGACTCGAACTCATGACCTTTCATGAGAGAGCATTGCTCCAAACCAACACACTAGCAGGCCTTTGGCGCAAAATTAAGAGATTTTTGGCTTATAAGAACAAGGCGTTTTAATAACAAACAATTCTTCCAATAGTAGCTTGGAAAGCTG